TCTCCCACCATTCAAATCTTGATTTACCCATTCAGCTGAGATTTCATAATCATTACTTATCACTTCAACCACTTTCTTACCAATATCTCCCACTGCCCTGTCCTTCTATTCTACAGTAGCTGCCTGGCTAAATACTAACAGAATCAATCCAATTTCATAATTCATTTAATAAGTATATATTGAGAATGGTTGATATTTTTCTAGGAGATGGATATATAGTATGGAATAAAAAATAACTCATCCTAGTTGACAGAGTTAGTAAGTAAAAGAATCAGGATTTGAATTCAAATTGTCTGACTCCAGATACCCTAATCTCCAGCTCATTCTCCACTATATTTCAAGCTTAATTTTCCTTAAACTTTAACCACACATCTTCCACTCTTATTTTTAGCAAATGGGCTTTCCCTCCAACCTCTCAACTTCCAGGTATTCAATCTACAAACATAAAATCTTCTGTATACATCCACATTTCCTACTACAAAGGAAGAAGGTCGTTTCTTTTAAAGGCTAACTCATTTATATCACATTCCTTCCCACATTCTCAGGAATCTCAATGTATTCAGTTCCTTAACAATATATTCATATTTTGGCTCTTAGCTTTCTCAAAAGCTACTTCTTCTGCATATCCTTCCATCACTATTCCTCAAATTCCCATGTGCCTCCACTCCAGTTCAGTTACTAGTAATCTTCTGTATACCTCTCTAGACTAAGCCTCAGATTACTGAATTTTTTCTTTTCTTTTAAATTTTATTTATTTATTTGAGAGAGAGAGAGAGAGAGAGCACAAGCAGGGGGAGCAGCATGCATAGGGAGAGGGAGAAGTAGGCTCCTGGCTGAGCAGGGAGCCCAATATGGGGCTTGATCCCAGGACCCTGGGATCATGACCTGAGCCGAAGGCAGCTGCTTAACCAACTGAGCCACCCAGGCACCCCTACGGAATGTTTTTATTTTGTTCATAATTGGATGCTCAATCCTAAGAATTTAAGTATTCTTAAACTTAAGAATTTACATTACATGTAAAATATATGTTGAACAAACAATTAATTATGAACACAATATCATTCTTGTGATTTTTTCCAGCCAATAATATAAAATTTTAAAAATAATTCAAAATAATAAAATTAACAACAATTACACCCTAGGTAATACAAAAGGACATACCTCCAGTTCATTTTCCAGTTTCATTACTTTAGTTTTTAATTGATTTTCTATTAAAAAAAAAGTTTCAATTGGTCAGATTTATTTCAAAACAAATTTTTAAATAAACTTCAACAAAGTAATAAAATTGTTAAAGATTCCATCATGATTATAAGGTAACATAAGAAAAAAATAACTTTTATACCTCATCCATGAAGTAAGAGTTCTAGAAATGTCTTTTAAAATAAAGTGAGTATATAAATTTTATAGAGTATATTAAAGAGAATCCCCTATTTAACACTATGATAAAGTTTTCCAGGGTGTTTACCAAATTTTGCTTGTTCTTCTCCAGCTTTTTCAACTTCCTCCAAAGCTAGCTCTACTTCTTGAGCTTTCATCTAAACATAAAAAAGGTTATTTCAATTATATCTTTACATAAGCACTGAAAATGAGGATTTTGTTTCACTTGCTTTCCCAATATTTAGTGCCTTCAATGCCTGGGATATGGAGACTTTCAGTAAATATTTGTTGAATAGACGATTTTCTTACTTAAGGATATAATTCCTAGATTCCTAACAGCTTGAAATATCTTTGATTCCTCTTTTTCCTTCGTCTTATATCCAGTACTGTAACTTTTCCCTTTGTAATGTTTTCTACTTTTTCTTTTACCATTGTCATTATTTTAGTCCATAATCTTCTAACCTTCACAATGTTATGTCTAAATGGCTTCAATTCCCTTCAATTTGTCCTATTAACGTACCTAATTTAGCCTTCCTAAAGCATACTTTTGTTATTACCAGTTGTGGCTCGAAAACCTCTAATGGCTCCTCATTGCTGATAGTATAAAATACACCTGTATTACCCTTGACAGCCTACTGCAAGCTATACCCAACATTTGTTTCCTCTATAACCTACTATAAATTTTCTGCACCTGTCTCAACCGTAAAGAATAAGCACATTTTTTTAAAATTAATTAATTTATTTTTAATTTTATTTTATTATGTTAGTAACCATTCATTGCATCATTAGTTTCTGAGGTAGTGTTCCATGATTCATTGTTTGCATATAACAGCCAGTGCTCCATTCAACATGTGCCCTCCTTAATACCCATCCCTGGGTTAACCCATCCTCCCCCAACCCCTCCCCTCTAGAACCCTCAGTTTGTTTCTCAGAGTCCACAGTCTCTCATGGTTCGTCTCCCCCTCCGGTTTGCCCCCCTTCATTTTTCCCTTCCTTTTTTTTTTTTTTTTTAACATATAATGTATTATTTGTTTCAGAGGTACATGTCTGTGATTCATCAGTCTTGCACAATTCACAGCGCTCACCATAGCACATACCCTCCCCAATGTCTATCACCCAGCCACCCCATCCCTCCCACCCCCCACCATTCCAGCAACCCTCAGTTTGTTTCCTGAGATTAAGAATTCCTCATATCAGTGAGATCATATGATACTTGTTTTTCTCTGATTAACTTATTTCGCTTACCATAATACCCTCTAGTTCCCTCCACGTTGTTGCAAATGGCAAGATTTCGGGGGTTTTTTGATGGCATAATATTCCATTGTATATATACACCACATCTTCTTTATCCATTCATCTGTTGGTGGACATCTTAGCTCTTACCATAGTTTGGCTATTGTGGACATTGCTGCTATAAACATTGGGGTGCACGTCCCCTTCGGATCACTACATTTGTATCTTTGGGGTAAATACCCAGGAGACCAAGCACATTTTCTAGTCCAAGTTTTTATTTAAGGTGATTTCCAGCTTTAGAAGCTTTTTAATGTTTACCACTGCTTTCCATTTACCTAAAATTACTCATCAGTCTTTGCCCCTCATGAGGCCTTCTCTCACCTAAATCTTTCCCCCTCCCAACAAACCCCTATACAAGTGTTCACACTTTTCATTCTGACTTCAGGATTATGTTAACATAATTACAAAGGACCTCTCTATGTTATTTTTAAACATACCCATTCTGTTTCCCTTAGACATTCTTCTAGGAACTTTAGAGCAGAAACCAGCAATGTTTTGCACACTAAAATTTTCAATCCACATTTGAAGAGATCTCATTTTTGAGTGATTCTGATATTACAAAGTACTTTCATAAAGACTAACTTATTTAAGAACAGTTCCTTAAACGTCCTCCAATAGTCAAAACCATTATTAAAACCTACTGCATACAAACCTTCATTAGTGATTGAGTAATTCTGAAAAGGTGTATCATATTTTCTTGACTTTCAGTTTTTAGCTCACTTATTTCCACCTAAGTAAAAAGAAAAACAACTATTTTATGTTTTATAACCCTTGGGCAAAATATAAAAATTCTTCCATTTGTAATATTCATTGATTTCAGGGACAACTTAGATTAATCATAGTTGTGTGTATATATATGTATGTGTGTGTATTGTTTATCAATTAAGCACCTTGGATAAGGAAATCAATAAATTATCTGCCAATTCTTCTTGACGAGGCAGGTCATCTGGATCAACTTTTATTATTTCTTTCCAGTTTATATTAGGTGGCATCTTGAAATCTTTCACTGTGCTTTACTTTCTGTAACAAAACAGGTGGGTATTAGCATTTTCGAGGTAAACAGCGTTCCTATTTTTATAGATTACATCATCGTAACCCTCTATGGTGTTAGCAAAGAGCTATGGCTCCTTAATTGTGTAACAGATAAGTGGGCAAAATACCCTTGATCAAAATTATAGCAGCTGGCACAAACCAACAAAGACTGCACCGGCTGAATAAACCACTACGGATTCTCTCTTATAACTAATCTAGGTCAGAACTAAGATTCTGAGTCCCCTCCTCCACGCCCCCTTACCACCGAGGCGCGCGAACATCTAATGGTGCCAAACGCGGGGGTACTTGGAAGGCTGAAAATGAACCCTGATTCGGTGAAGCAGGAACTAGGGGTAAAAAAGAAAAGGTGTGTAAATAAACGCCTGAAATGAGAGCAGGTAGGCCGGGGAAACCGGGGCTGAAGCTAGGAGAAGGCCGACGGATTGCGGACCAAAGACTCAGGAGGGGTGGGGAAGACAGGCTGTTACGTACGGGCCCTGAGACTTAAAGAACCTTTTTGGGAAGAAACTGGCTGCTCCTGCTCACCAAGATCCACCCACCTAACCGAGCCTGGCAACCAGCAGAGATCCCTGATCCGCCGCACGGACCAAGGTTGGCCCCGCCGCCACGCCTGACCGCTCCCCAGCGCGGTTCCACCCGGACTCGATCCCGCCAACAGGTCCTGTGCAAGCAAGAGCGGTGGCGGCTGCTAGGAGACACCATTCCCCACCCCGCGAAAGACGGCACAAGGCCCCGGATGCGAAGGGAGCCTACATTTCACGACCTTGGGTGATGCTTTGCGTTTAGAGTCTCCTGCAGGGTCCCTTGGACTCTCTGTTAAAGACGGAGAAGGCGAGGAATAAGGACTCCAAATCCCAGAGTGCAGTTCTGCTTGGAGTCTTGTCCATGCTGGGAACTGAAGTCTACGAGAGGTGGAGGGAGGCCGTTCCCAGCGTGCAATGCGGGAGGCTGCGACGGTACCGTGGGGGTGGGGGAACGACCCAGCGGCGGGAGGCGCAGTGGCTGAGGCGCGTGTGCGCCGGTGACCTGAATGAGGTAGACCATGACTGTGCCTTTGGTGGCGTCACTAGCTGGGCCGCTTTTCCTGGGATTTCTCTAAGCCATCTCCTGGTGGAACCGCTCCCAGGTGAGGTCGAGCTGGGGGTCAGAGGCGGGGGAGGAATTGAGGGGAGCGGTCCCGGCTTAATGAAGCTCGTGCTATTGGCGCGGAAGGACTCGGTCCAGGTCCGAAGAGGTGAGAAGAACCCGTTTCCTTAGGTGTTTTAGAGGGTTTCCACGGGTGGTGCCCTCTGTAAGAAGAAAAAGAAAGTTTTAGTTTTCTTTGCGCTCTGAATTTACTCCGTACGGTGGAGTGGGGGCCGCACGGCCAAGATCGTGGTTTCGGGGGAGTGAAGAATGGAGAAGAGGACATACTCTTCTCTGCCCGTCTTACCTGTAGCAGCAGAGCCTTCGCGGATTGGAGGACTTGAAGATGGAAGAGCTGGTATAGAGTGAAGGCTCTAGAAAGGAGTGTTTAGCATTTGCCCAGCCTGATGCTGGGGTGGAGAGAGAAGGGGCCTCCGTACTCAGCAGCCTGGATGCTGTCACTTTCTTGGTTACCGAAGATGCCCTCGTATGAAAGCGTTTCTCAGGTGTTGACAGTTCTTTCGGTCAAGTTTTGTTCATCCCGCTGTGCTCAGCCATTCTGGAATATGATACGCTACTAGATAACTTCCTTAAGCTGTAGACTTGAAATCTAAATGACATTTTCGACTGTTGGAGCAGTGCCTCCTACTTTTGTTTTTTTTTTAAGGACTTTTTCTTATCTATAATTGATACTAAGTTTTCCTTCTGAAAATATACAGATTTCTTTCCAAACCACGTGTTTGGGTAAAACAAATAATAGCTCAGAAAATAAAAAGATATTGATTTAGTGGGATACATTTTAAAAACATTCGTCAGATTTGTAGGAATGATCATTTTGTTGTATCCTTTACTGAGATTATATGCCACATACCGTTCATTATTTTTTTTAACCATGCTGACATTACATCCCCAGAACTTATTTGTCTTGTAACTCTTAAGTTTCTACCTTTTGACCAGTATGTTCTTTGTTTCCATGAGTTTGTTTTGTTTTGGGGTTTTTTGTTTTTTTTTTTTAGATTCTGCATGTGAGATCCATACAGTATTTGTATTTTTCTTTCTGATACTTACCATAATGCTCTCAAGATCCATCCATGTTGTCCCAAATGGCAAGATTTCATTCTTTTCATGGTTGAATAATCCATTGTATATACCACATTTTCTTTATTCACCTGTCAGTGGCCACTTATTTCCATGTCTTGGCTACTGTAAATAGTTGTGCAGTGGATATGGGGGTGCAGATATCTCATGCACATAGTGATTTTGTTTCCTTTGGATATATATCCAGAAATAGAATTGCTGGATAATATGGTAGTTCTGTTTTTAAGTTGAGTAATCTCCGTAACTGTGTTCTGTAATGCCTACACTAGTTTACATTCCCACCAGCAGTGCACAAGGGTTCCCTTTTCTCCCCGTCCTCGATAACCCTTATTATCTCTTGTCTTTTTGATGACAGCAAACTGACAGGTGTGTGGTGATATCTCATGGTTCTGATTTGCATTTCCCTGATGATTAGTGATGTTGAGCACCTTTTCATATATCTCTTGGCCATCTGTATGTCTTTGGAAGAAGTTCCTCAAATTCTTTGCTTTTTTGCTGTTGAGTTGTAGGTGTTCCTTACATATTTTGGATATTAACCCCTTATCAGATATATGATTTACAGGTATTTTCTTCCATCCCATAGGTTCTTTTCATTTTGATGATAGCCTCCTTTGTTGTGCAGAAGCTTTTTAGTTTAACATAGTCCCACTTGTTTATTTTTGCTTTTTGCCTTTGTTTTTGGTTCCGAATCTAGAAAATCATTGTCAGGGTCAATGTCAAGGAGCATATGGCTCTCCAGTTTTCCCAGCACCATTTATTAGGGAGACTCTCCTTTCTTCATTGTATATTCTTGGTACTTGGGCTGTTTTGTTCCATTAACCTGTGTGTTTTATGCAAATATCAAACTCTTACGATTACTATAACTTTGTCACTCTCTTAGTTCATCTTCATAACAGTCCAGTGAGATAGGTGCCTGTATCGTCCTCATTTTTCCAACCAAGTTGTAAAACTGAGGCTTGGAGAGGTTAAGAACTGTGCTAAAACTTAAATGGTGTGATTGAAAATGGATTTTTCTGGCTGGAGGACGTTCTCTTTAATTCCATACTTCCTCCTCAGGCATGCTTAGAACCAATATCTGTGAAATGCTTGTTCTTTAGTCTTGCTGTCTATAGTAAATATCATATTCTAATGATGTAACTTTGTTTACTTAGGAATTTGAATTACATATTTTTCATGTTCAGTTTTTAATTCATAATTTAGCAAGGGAAGGAAGAGATGAGATCTAATTTCTTTTGTCACATGAGTCATATGCTTAAAATTGCATGTTTATTTTCATCGTTAGAATCTGTTTTTATGGGCGCCTGGGTGGCTCAGTTGTTAAGCATCTGCCTTCGGCTCAGGTCATGATCCCAGGGTCCTGGGATCGAGTCCCACATCGGGCTCCCTGCTCGGCAGGAAGCCTGCTTCTCCCTCTCCCACTCCCCCGGCTTGTGTTCCTGCTCTCGCTATCTCTCTCTCTGTCAAATAAATAAATAAAATCTTTAAAAAAAAAAATCTGTTTTTACTGCAGCACCTTGTTTTTCTTGTTTTTCATTCATAACTATTCTGTATATTCACTTTCTAGTTTTGTTTTGTCTGTATTGGTCTTTACTACCCTTACTTCCCCTCGCCCTCTTGTTCACATTTATATTCCCAGCAACTCAAGGTACCTGGTCTAATGATAAATTTTATTTTCATTTTTCAGAAGTGAAAATAGATTCAGGGAAGCTAAGTAATTTCCTAATAATTAATGAATCTAAGATTGTAACCCAGATCTCAGTTATAGTCCTGACTAAATGTAAAATCTTGTTTAAATTTCATTCTTTTACTCATTCTAACACTATTTTTGAGCTTGTGCACTGTGCTAGTGTTGGTTCATAACCTCCTTGGGAGCTTCCCAGGTTTAATCTGAAACTGGCTTCCGAATATGGAGGGCAGAGAGACCAAAGAAAGGGGAAGGCCTTTCTAGTTTTGTAGGTGGCAGTTTCGCTAAGCAAAGGGGACTTGCCTAGGAGGCTTGTCTTGGGCGGCTGGAAGAATAATGGATCCCTGCACCCACCCACCAAATCTTAAAAGTTTATATAGAGAGAGGCCTTAACTGGGTTCAGTTAAGTGTATTGTGCAGGTGTTCTCAACACCATATCTTTATCTCAAGGCTATGTGCTTGCAGCAGCCTTGGGGACCAGGAAAAGCAAACAGAACCACATCCCAAGGGGAGGGGATAAGGAGATTCACTCAGATCACCTGGGTCCAGTTTTAGCTCAACCGAGTCTTTTCTGTGACCTTCCCCAACAGCTAGACGTGGGGAATCTGAGAGGAAACAAGTTTGCCATGGTCTAGGTCCTAATGCCTTTTGGTAAGTTTGTACCTAACTGTGAATCAAGAAATTTAACACAAGTTCTAGTTCAGTCACTCACTATATAATTTTGAGGAAAATTGCTAAAACTCACTGTTACTTTTCATCAGATTTTCTGCATCAGTCAATTTGCACCGAGATAAGAGATTTATGTGATAATTTTATAAGTGGCCTTATTAAAGGAACACTTGCCTGAACCTGCCTTCTTTCTTCTCCCTGGTTTTATGAGCAGTTTTATCTGACCAAAATCATTTCATAAGAAAGCCTTCCCTTTTATAATTGCTACCTTTATTCCCTGTATCAGGCAGCTTATTTTATTTAGATGTTACTTCCATTCCCTTTTTTGCTGCCTTATAGAGAAAATGAATGGTAACTTGTTTTTCCAGCATCTATAATAAAGCATGGCCATGAGAAATTTAGTATCCCTGTGTATAATAAATGTTTTGTTTTGTTTGTTCTCCTGGAGAGGATCACTGTGCAGCAAGTAGACACTTGTCTTTTGACATGAGACTGGAAAGATTAGGAGGAATCAGTGTGAATGCAGACTTCACAAACTTTATGTGCTTTAAAAAAGTCATGAAATACAAATTATTCTTATTGAAGAAGATAAAATCATGAAGTTATTTTATGGAGAGAACTTTACTTTCCAGGCTAAATCGTCCTAGATTCATATAAAATTTTCCTATAGGTTTATTTTTTCCACAATTGTATTGTTGAATTTTTAGGAAAAGGGGTTCATGGTACAATTTTGCTGAGGGAAGTATATTAAGTTTTGTATCTCTCTATGGTAGCTCATAAGTGGTCTTCCATTGTAGTTGGGTTGTTTGCGCATATGTAGTGACATCCCATTGTTGTAAGTAAACATGAATCAATCGCATTCAGACTATGTGCCTATGTTGAATATGTTTATGTGGCTAGAAGAAGTACTGGAATTTGCCTTAGTCTGTTCATATTGCTCTAACAGAATACCCTATATTAGGTGGTTTATAAACAACAGGAATTTATTTCTCACAGTTCTGGAGGCTAGGAAGTACCAAGATCAAGGCATGAGCATTTTCAGTGTCTCATAAGGGCCCACTTCCTGGTTCATGGATAGTGTCTTTTTACGGTTTCCTCACATGGCAGAAGGGCCAAAAGATCTTTCTCAGGCCTCTTTTATAAGGGCACTAATCTCATTTGTGAAGTCCCCATCCTCATGAAGTCCCCATCATTTAGGGGTACACAAACATCCACTCTGTACCATTCCCACAGCTAACATTTAATACTGATGTGGTACATTGTTATAGTAATGGCCCCCAGTGAATCAGGCCTCCCTCTAACTATTCCTTTAGGTAACCCTCTCCATTTCCCTTAACGTCTACCCTTGCAAGTAGTTCTTTTGGGCAGAACCTAAAACGACTCCACAACTGAGCTCATGACATGCATGAGAACTACTAGCTCTCATTCCCTTTTTCTCATAATAGGCTCCCTTGGAGATTCTTCAAAAATTCTATGATCTTGACCCTTTATAGCCTCTCCTTCAGTGACTATGGGTTTACCTTGCTTGATGGGGGGATATATATATATATACATACACATACATATATATGTATTTATATGCCTTAAGTAGAGACTTGAAAAGAGTTTGTGCATTGGGACTTGCCCCCCTTCTCTCCTGAGATCACCATTTAAAGAAGTTCAGGCTAACCTACTAGAGGGTATGACCATATGTAGCAGAAACTAGCTTTCCAACTTAAGACCTCTACACTTTATTTTTTAATTTTTTTTTCAAATTTTTATTTAAATTCGAGTTATTTAACATACAGTGCAATGTTAGTTTCAGGAGAATTCAGTGATTCGTCACATATACTACCCAGTGCTCATCACATCAAGTGCCCTCTTTAATACCCATCACCCATCTAGTCCATCCCCAACCCACCTCCCTCTATCACCCCTCAGTTTGTTCTCTATCTTTAAGAGTCTCTTATGCTTTGTTTCCCTCTCTTTTTTCCTCCTTCCCATATGTTCATCTGTTTTGTTTCTTAAATTCCACGTTTGAGTGAGATCATGCAGTATTTGTCTTTGACTGACTTC